GAAACATTTACCTCTTCAAAGGAAGGAAGGAAACCTCAAAGTCATCTCCACATAATTCAAGGACGTTGTTGAACAATCAGGGAGATGTTTCGGTCTCAGAAGAGACCATTTTCAGCCTAATAAGAAGTTCTTCAATACAAACAGGATTGGTATGGTGAACTAAAAGTATTTGGTTAACTGACTTGGAGTTGAAAAGTCTTATACAGTTATCTAGTCATAGTATAGATATATGCCTGCCGATCATAGTCACTAGCTCATGTGTCAGTAAATAAGAAACTGGTTCTTATTAAATCTCTCAGCTTTTCTTCTATTAAATGAATACGAAAAGCTCAAAGCCAGTTCCACACGAAGTTCATGAAATGAACAACAATGGTATAGATTTCGGAAGAAAAACAACAGAACTACTTTCCTGGCTAATACCACGCAGAACATTGAATTACATCCTCCCGAAATCTATGCATCGACTCGTATAAACGAATACTGACACAAGTGATTCTTTCCTGAATGCCTATTGATTCCGATTTAGCCAGGCCACGCTAGACAACCACAGACCGTTTTCGAGCTCTTTGACTCTCATCAGTGCAGTGTAGTCTCCAGCCAGCAGTCCTAAGACCGCCGACTCAGCGAAGCCTAGCCAAACAAAAATCAAGTTGGCATTATATTCCCCCCGAGGCGTCTTTCATCGACAAGATGAAAGTAACGCCATCGGAGTAGAAAGGAGGAAAGAATCACTCCAAAACTGAAATTCCCATACGGGAGTGGCTGGTTGCCCGACTGGCGTAAATTCAACTACAAAATGGCTACAATGCTCAAAGTGGAATGAAATGTTAAATAAATACGAAAAGCTCAAAGTCATTTCCACACAGAGTTCGTAAAATGAACAACAATGGTAGATTTCGGAAGAAAAACAACTACTTTCCTGGCTAATACCACGCAGAACATTGAATTACATCCTCCCGAAATCTATGCATCGAATCGTATAAACGAATACTGACACAAGTGATTCTTTCCTGAATGCCTATTGATTCCGATTTAGCCAGGCCACGCTAGACAACCACAGACCGGTTTCGAGCTCTTTGACTCTCATCAGTGCAGTGCAGTCTCCAGCCAGCAGTTCTAAGACCGCCGACTCAGCGAAGCCTAGCCAAACAAAAATCAAGTTGGCATTATATTCATATTCCCCCGAGGCGTCTTTCATCGACAAGATGAAAGTAACGCCATCTGAGTAGAACAGAGGAAAGAATCACTCCTTTTCCTCTTTTCTTCTCTGGGTGGATAAAAAATCTGTTTATATATTTTTTAAATGTGTAAATTCGACACCTTGTAATCAGGCCAGTAAACATAAGGGAGGGGTGTAATGGGGCGTTGCTACCCGATGATTGAAAAATTATAATGGGCGTGTACACCTGAGTAGATTTTTCAACTCAAACCATGTTTATAATGATCCTTTTATACATAAATAATGATTGACGACATAATTCGATCGAAAAATTAACTGGAATGTCTTATTTTTGGACATAAACAAATAGTACCTTCTGAAAACGGACCCTCTTATGGCGTAGAAACCTCATCTCGCCATAGTTGAAAGAAAATACCAAACGCCTGACGGAGACTGAGGCAACTGATATATTAATTCTTTCAACTGTGATCTCGCGCTAATTCACTCTGTCAGAAATCATGTAGATATCATTCATCTCTGTCTGGAATAGTCTTGTTTTAGTATTAGGGTTTTGACGTCACATCATCGCCTCGTTTTCAGAGGTCCGAAAAATCGAGGATTTCAATAATTTTTTATAAAACGTAGGGAGCTCACAGCAAGAAACGGTTTGCGGTGGTGAGGTAGTTTGGGTGAGTTCTATCGAATTATGAAATGAAAATTGTTTGTGATATAAGCCCATTATTACTATTCAGGATTGTCAGATTTCAAAAGTTATTGAAATTACCTATTACAAGAAATAATATTTTACGACAAAAGTAGGTGAGTATACAACTGGTACATCTGAAGATATAGAAAATAAGCTTGTTCACATAAAACATCTAGGGAAGGGAAGATGAAACTCGTGAAACTAAACAAAGATTAAAATTCCGTACACATATTTACATATTTCTAAAACTCATTTCCGTATGTCCTACATCCGCCTCACTTTTTCTACCTGTTCTTGTCGACAGAACAGTGCCAGATGTTCAGATGTTCTAGGGCTTTCCTTACTTTAAAATCAGTAAATCAGATAAGCATTTGAAACGTTCTGCTATATAAAACTCAGTGGCAGCAGGTAAATCACTCGATCAGGTACAGGGCTAGTTTCATTATTGTCATCCCGCATTATTTTTTTTTTCCACCCATGGGGGAGTGTATAATCTCTGCACCCATTCAAAAATTTCCAAACTGATCAAATAACATTTTTTGAACAGATTTCACTCATATTGAGAATGATGCAATATTCTTCCAAATATACAGGGTATTTTTTTTATCGCTTGGAGCGCACGAAAGGAAATTCCTATAATGTTCAAAGAACATCGTGCGTTTCTAGGGAGGATAGGGACAGGAGGTAGGTATTGGAAATTTTTTTTTGAACTTAAAAAAAAACATCTATTCGGATATAAATAACGGGTGTCACAGGGTATTGCCACCCTTGTAACTTCTGCATTCGTAAACGGATTTTCTGGAATATGGAACAGTTATGTATAAGCAACCATTTTGAATTTGATGACAATACAATCCATCATGGCTGACTTCCGGTTTATCTGGAAATGCCAGCAACTTTGTTTTTTTAATGGAACACCGTGTATATTTCTCGCATATTCTAGTTCAACCGGTCAAAACAAGTGCAATTTCCAGGACAAGAGTCTTAAATCTTGTTTTCCACAGCGTATTGGAAATATTTTTCGAACTGTGAGGAAATTCATGAAACTAGTTGTTGATTTTCGAATGTACTCATACAACTTTTTACTGCACCTAATCACAAAAATTATATGTAATTGTTTTCCCTTGATGTATGTTCTAGAGAGACATGTATAGGTGATCCATAGGGGTTGAATACGAAAAAAAAAGAAATTTTGTTCAGAATGTTATGTGACTGGAATAGCCTTGAACACATCTCAACATCTCATTTATTCACGAAGTGTAATAAAAAAATGATTTTGATTTAAATTTTTTCGGGAAAATGAGATTTGACTCAAAGATTGCACTTGTTGTGACCTGTTGAACTAGAACTTGTGAAAATATACAGGGTGTTCCATTTGAAGAAACAAAGTTGCTGGCATTTTCAGAAAAACCGAAAGTCTGCCAAACTAAATTTTTATCGTTTGGTGCGCACGAAAGGGGATCCCTATAATGTTCGAAGAACATCGTGCGTACTTAGGAAGGATAGGGAGAGAAGGTAGGTGTTGTGATCAAATCTGGGATGGTTGCTTATAATTATACTGTACCAAATTTGAGAAAAATTCGTTCACGAATGCAGAAGTTACCAGGGTGGCCCGTTACCCTGTGTCACTTGGTATATATCGCCTAATAAACGATTTTGACAAATATATCAACGAAAGCTGTCACAACGCCAAAGCAGTGTTGATATTTTCATTTCAAAAATCTGTCTCTTTTCAGAAGAATGCATCAAGCGGATTCTTTTATCTTTTATTTTTGGTTATCATTCTTTTCTTTTCTTTCTTGGAATTCAGTATCATTCGACTCTGCAACGAATAACATACATATAGTATAGTATTTTTAATACAGGGTGAGTCATTAGTGTGGCAAAGTGCGATAACGGCTTTACTGTTTGAGATAGATGAGCAAAAATTTCAAAGATGATCTAGGATCATGAGCAGCACATTTCCAAATTATTTCGCTTTATACAAGGTGACTCAGAAATGCGTGGCATATCAAAGTTATACTTTTTCTTATGGGACACCCTGTATTTCATTGCATTTTCGCATTCTCCTTTGTGAGCTGATTTCATCAATGCATCACACTTGGGGTCTAGCAAGAATGATTACAGAGATAAAGGGTATTCAAAATCAAGATTTTTCAATTTTAGGATTTTTTTGCGTCGAAACTATTCATTATTGGTCAAAACGGTTTCCATGTCCCTATCCTAACTCTTGATTTACTATCTACTGACATTTAATTGAAACAGATACAAGGGTGATCAGAATGCTGAATCTTGAACCACCCTGTATTTGTTTCAATTAAATGTCAGTAGATAGTAAATCAAAAGTTGGAATAGGGACATGAAAGCCGTTTTGACCAATAATGAATAGTTTCGACGCTAAAGAATTCTAAAGTTGAAAGCCAACACCGTCTCCGAGAAAGAACTGCAAGTCCTTTAATCTTCCGTTCGACTTTGCGGTTTCGTACTACTAAACAACCACTAACTTCGCAATTTTTTGAAATCAAATCACAGAATTAGACTGACAGATATTTGGGATATTTGGTTACTGCAAAAGAATGATGAAGATGCCTGCAACGCAGGTGTTATATTCCTGTTGAAAACATATGGTTTCATCTTTAATATAATGTAATATCTTCTCAATGTTGATTCGTCACAGAAAAAAATTGTGTATTATACAAATATTACAATTTTAGCTCACGGTTTTTTGTCTGCCTTCGCTACGCGTCGGGAGACAAATAATAAATAACTATCAATGAATGTTATGAATCAACATTGTTACCTAATTCCTTCATTGTGATGATATGTTTGTTACTCTCCACACATCAAATGATAAGAATATTTTCTTTTCTCACGTTCGCACGTTCGTATTTGGTGAAATTTCGTATCTACTTATCTGTAGTATTTCAAATCGGCTACTTCCCCGTTATAATTTCTGTGAGATTATGCAGGTGAAGAAATCAACGACGCTTTGTTTGTAGATAAGTCTTTGAAAGTGAAAGTTGCCGAAAAGTGAATCCACTTAGTTTGAAAGCTGTCCTTTACAATTCTATCAATAGTCAGGCAAACATGAGAACTATACAGGGAGTTCCAAAAATAGTGTAAACTACTCTACCAATGACTTCTAGGGTCAAATATTGGAAGGAAATAAGTTCATATAAACCTAGATCGGCAAATATAAAGAAACTACACCCTCTTAAACGGGCGCCTGCTCTGAAGAAGGTTTTTTAATATCATTTTCGAAACAGCAGAAACTGCACTTTTTATGCTGAATTAAAAATGTAGATGAATAACATATTTTCATTCTTGACCAAACTACGGTTCTTTCAGTTCCAACTAATTTGTGTACTAATATTTTTGCAATGTGGCATTGGAATATAAGAATGTCGAGTTTTTTATAAATGTCAAAATATTGTATAAATTAATCGATTTTGAGTAAAATCCATCTGAATATTCTGGTTGCATAATATGAAATAGATGTGAATTGGGAATTTGAACAAATTTGTGATTGATAGTTGGCTATGAATTCCAACAGTTCGTTAGATATCTATATGATTTGATTTGACCCAAGGAAATGGGAATTTGTTTGAACAACAATTAAATAAAACTATGTACCTAAACGTTCAAATTTAACTATTTCTGGTCATAAAAGTCATTAAAGCGTCGCCACCGCAGGACCACAGATTGCTTATTTGTTAATCTGTGGCAGGACTGTGCCCCCTCCTGGCTATTGGCTCATAAATTTATAGTACCGAGCTTACCAAGCGAAAAGTCACTTCACGCACATATTAAAGATACACTATCATTTCTACTAGCGTGAGAAAAAAAACTTGAAAGATAACATAAAAAAACATTTATTATTATTGTTAAAAATATTCAAATGTCATTATATAGGTACTCCCCAAAAACTTAACAAATTCGCTTTTTTCTGCGAAAAAGCAGAAAGCACTAGAATGAGTGAGAAAAAGTGGACATTTCTGCACCCTAGTAAAATAAAAATATAATTACTTATATCTGAACATTGAGGTGCACTTTATCGCACGAAATGACATAACCGAGGACATAACTAATCTGAAAATGACATAACCGAGGACATAACTAATCTGAAAATTACACTATCTTATAGTATTTGTTTTCATGACATATTTCCTCGGCTATCTCTATGGTTAATTTTCGAAATATTTTCGAAAGAAGTAACCTTTTAGTAACAGATCAATCAAAAATTCATCCAGAACAGTTGCTTGAGATAAAAATTTAGGTCCGTAGTCTGTATCAAATTTTTCTGTAGTATCTGGTACTTACAACACTTCACCAAAACTTGTTCGTCTATACAGGGTGTTTCAGACTTAAATGTACATACGATACCTGTAGCTAGAGGACACTTCGGTGGTTCCAAATCACCCCCCATTGATATGTCTACCGTCTTTTATAACTGAGATACAGGACGTTAGCTTGATTTTGGCAAAATCTTCATCTGGTTATAACTTTTGAACCACTTTGTATAATTTATTCATACTTGTTTGAAATATTCCACTTATATTACCCATCAAAACAAAATAAAAACTCGGATCAGAATCCAGGTCCGTCTTGAGGAAAAAGAGAAAACTTCTTTTATCTCAAAAACAACACCCTGTATGGCAAAATTTTGTAGGTCTGTTTTGATATTTGGAAAGAGCGGAAAAAAATGAAATAAAGTGGCCTACTTTTCACGAGCACGCATCCAATTTGACAGATAGTTTATTATTATGTTTTGAAACATTCAGCTCCATTTCGGAGCATTTTCATTGAACTCGTAATTCAAAATCCAATTTCAGTACAAAAAAATAACAGTCTTCAAAGTTCAACATCATTAGAGTCAAACTAGGTGAACTATCGATAGATTTGTTGTGACAGAATCACTTGTCTATGGTATCATACATTTTTGAGGGCTCATTTTATTTTCCACTGATAATTCACGTGCTGCGGTTAAGTGGGCTGTGCGAAAAAAATCTGATATTCTGACAGGTCATAATCACTAGTGTGATATTATTGGGTTGTTACATTTCAAAGTGTTCATAATTGTGCCCACAATAACTTTACCAATAATATCGCAACTATAATGATTATGAACTGTCAGAATTTTAATTTTTTCTTTCAAATCATTCTGTCAAACAAACAAATTCATCGATAGTTCACCTAATTTGGCTCTAATGATGTTGAAACTTTGGAGACTGTTTTTTTTTCTGTATACAAATTGGGTTTCGAATTATGAGTTCAATAAAAATGCCTCGAATATTTCAAAACATGATAATAAACCATCTTTCAAATTGGATGCGCACTCGTAAAAAGTAGGTCACTTCATTCATTTCTCTCCGCTCATCAAAACCGATCAATAAAATTTTGCCATACAGAGTGTTGTTTTTGAGATAAAAGAAGATTTCTCTTTTTCCTCAAGACGGACCTGGATTCTGATCCAGATTTTCTTTTGGTCTTGAAGGGTAACATAAGTGAAATATTTCTACCAAGTATGGATAGATTATACAAAGTGGTTCAGAAGTTATAACCAGATGAAGATTTTGCCCATATCAAGATAACGTCCTGTATCTCAGTTATCAAAGACGGTAGACATATCGATGGGGGGTGATTTGGAACCACCGAAGTGTCCTCTATCTACAGGTATCCTATGTACATTTAAGTCTGAAACATCCTGTATAGCGGCAAAGTTCTGAAACTCTTCGCCAATAGAACTCAATCACAAGAACTTATAACCTCCAAAAGTTAAAAACGAATTCCAACACCTACCTCCTCTTCCTATCCTCCCTAGATACGCATACAATGTTCTTCGAACATTATAGGAATTACCTTTAGTGCACTCAAAGCGAAGAAAAAATGTCAACAATTTTTATTTTCCAAAAGTTTCGGGTGCATTTTTAACCGTTTCTAAATTATACAGATCATTGACCTAGAAGTGACAAGTCAGCCCATCTCTAGAATTTGGCGAAGCCTCTGGATAGGATATTGTATTTTTGAGTCGCATGATTTTTTTATTCATTATTATTCCTGGATAAATTTATAAAATTGAATGAAAATATTTGCTATTTGTGATTTTAGCACATGCACTAAAATGCATGTCACAAAATCATCAATTTACATCCGAGTCTACTTTATCCGAACATGGTCCATTCTATACTTACTCGATTCTTTATCCAATTCAGACAAGAGTATCTTTTTCACGACAAAAACTCTGAATTTCTATATTTTGCAGCCAGATCGCAAAAGAATCTTACAAATAGTAGTTGAGTCTGAAATTACCCTATAGACCGCTCAATCAGTTCAATACACTCCTGAATAAATGGAAATTTCAATTTCGTTTACATTTTTGAATCCAGCAAGTCAGGATGACAAATTTTTTTTCTCATCTCAATCCGTTTCGACAATAATGATTGAAAACCATGATTGGGTTTGGTTTGGCTCTGATGATCTTTGATTTACAAATATGTTTCAGGCAAACCTTATTGAGCTGTAAACTGTAAGTAGGTATACAATGTTTCGAAAAAATTTGCTTTTATATCGATATGTTTCTATATTTCATGAGATTATTATACATAATAGTGAAATCATTCGTGCTAAAATAATCTGAAATTATGGAAATCATTACGTATATTATACGGGTGGATTAAATGCATGCAATAGAAAGATAATAGACAAGAGTCAAGCGATTATGTTCCATATTCCATATCATGAACAGCTGTATACCATAATTCCTATATACCTATTCCAGCTGTTGCCAACAACGGCGATGTTATAGTTTCAATAACAGTTAAATAAAATGTAATAATTAAATAGGTATGTATATACTATTACTCCTGAACTAGATTTCATAGGTCAAAATCCATAATATTCATTGATTATTATACAGGGTGTTGTGAAATTCGACCGACATCGCTTGACAGGTGATAGCCCTCTTGATTTCATAATCAGTTTTTCAACATAATTGAACAATCAATTCGAGAAATTGGAAATAATCGAAATTTCATCAGTGGTGTAGAAAATATGGGAGGAAAGGTTATCACAATCCTCTGAAGCGCACATCTAGGTAAAATTCTCGGAAAGTCTTCCTGGTAAAGACTGCATTATTTTTTATTCTTCTTGAGATATTGCGAAAAACTTATTTGAACTTCAACGCCCTGTATCTCGAGAACTGAACACTTGAAGACCGTATGTCCCTATCTCAGTGATTATATGAAATCCCGAGGGCTATCACCAGTCAAGCGTTGTCGGTCGAATTTCGCAACACCCTGTATACACGACATGGATTCAATAGCGTGTTATCCATTCCGATATATATAATATAATAGCGTTAACGTCAATCTTTTTTCTAAATTTTCTCAGTATTTCACGTTAATTGCCAGTTTGAGATAGAGTCACTGAATGGTATAAGTATATTAGTTTGATAAGAGTTCGGACACAGAAATAACAATGGTTAGGGTTTTTAAATGTTTAGATTTATTAAGTTACACACCTTGCATTGTGACAAGAGCACCACAGTCGTCCCGCGTTTTCATTCAAAATTGTTTAAATTTGAATTTTATAAACGTCAGAATTGAAATAAAATTTCATAGTTATACTTTCGAGAAAAAAGCAGCTATGGAAATCCCTCGCTGTGTAATGAATTGTGCCAATTCTGAAAAAAATGGATATCATTTATTCATTTTTCCAAAACAAATATCAACCATTCGCCTATGGGTGGAAACTCAATTTGAAGACGAGCCAAATTTGTGAGGTACCTACTCATTAACTAACATAAACTATGTTTTAGGCCCAGTTTCAAACAGAAGATTTCAAAATCTGTTTGAGAGAATATGCTGTTCCATCAATTTACAAAGCAGCCGATTTCAAGAACAAAATTCCATATTTATCATCACACAAAATACAAAACAAAATAATCATGGAAAGAGGAAATGATCGCGAAATTACATAATGGAATTAAAAATGAAACTGGGGAAAGCAATGAAACTACAACGTGATATATTATTGAATGGCGTTTTTGATGCCGATCAAATTCAAAATTGAACAGTGAAAAGTATATAGTTATTTATGTATCAAGGGAATTATTATAAGGGCCTTAATTACGGTAGAGCTTATCGTTTTGGAGATGTTTTCTATATCGATCCATGTTACTTGGCTCCTAAGGCGCTGAGTGAAGTTGCTGAGAACTTTACAAAACCAAGTATTTGGTAGGTCTCTTCAGAATAAACTACTTTTTTATGAAATGTTCATCGAAAAATGATTTGTTCTCTGTATTCCATCACCCTGTATCTACTTGGATACAAGCTTATATGGACTTAATTTCTTAAAATTGTCTCAGGAATACTTCACTTGAACGTACTTATGTTACCTCCTGTATATTGAGAATACCTACCTTTAATTTAATATTAATAACTTCATGTTTTATACTTATCACTGGAGTAGGTACAGTATGATATACAATGAGGAATTATAGCTATAAGTTTATACATATGTGTATATTTTCTAATATTAAAATGTTATATGCATCATTTTCACTTATATAACAGTTGTTCTGCTAGAAGTGTATCACTATAAATTGAAGTGGGTGTTTGTACCCTATATCCATTGTCTATCTACGGCTATGATTGATTTGACAGAAAATATAACCTCTAAAATTGTTTCTGACAATCAGGCGCTACCAGGAAAATTGAAAAGACAAAGAGCAGAATATATGTCTTATTCTTTTATTCACTTAAACCATTGTATTATAGAAAATAGAAAAGGACAAAAGTTCAGCTGTGTCCGAACTCGTGACTCTAGTTTGAGATAAATATCTCAATTCCAATATAGGGTTCGCGTCAGTTCATTAATAGGTAGAAGAAGAAGATTATGAATTCCATAGTTTTGTATGAAATTTGGAAAATTTCCTTCATTGTTCACTTTTTACTGAAAAACGAACAGTCAGTCCTAAAGACGCAGCTGGAAATTCAATTGGCCAAATTGTTGTTGTTCTAAAATTTCTTCTCACTATTTCATCTTCCCACGAGTCTCACCAGTTAATTCGAATATTTTCGATATTTGTTCAGTGGTTAGCTATTGTAATCAAAATATACTCATAATTTTACATCAACTTCGACGCTCTGTAACTTGAAAACCTATCAAATTAGGATATATATGTTCATGGGTACTTTCAGTCCTGAAAAAGCCAAGAAATTACATCTTCCAATATGTACATGATATGATATAACATCCTGTATAATATAGTATGTTTCAGTATGTTCCTTCCTGTTTCTTTATCAGGAAATTATGAGCTGCTTCCTCTTGATTTCATTTTCGAAGATGACAACTTACTTATAGCGAAAATGAAGCGTTTCCGGACCTTCGGAAACATACTGAAACACCTTGTATATTGAGATATCTTTTCAATTACCTACGTTGACGACGAATCATGTACTTACTTATCCAATTAATGATTAATTACTGTGAATCCGCATTCGAATTTTGACATGTTTTATAGCATCATCCTCTTGATTTTCCCAATACGCAACATGCATTTCAGTCATGGTTGCGAAATTTGTAATGCAGTGATGACCATGTTGATGATCCACGATTTCTGCTTGTTTCAGAATTACTTACAAGAACATTCCGATGCACAGAGTCAGTCGCTGTTAGAAAGTATAAATTCAAAATACTACTACTATACAAGGACGAAAGGACTTTTTAGGATATGCTATCCAAAAGAGAGGCCGCCTACTGGTAAGTTCATTCTCACTGAAAAAAAAATCATTGGAATTGATCATCACATGGTGCGTTACAACAATGTTTGCGCAATTATTTCAATTTGTTTTGTGTAGGCACAAGGTGCATAATTTGTTTGAGTCACTAACAGATGGATAAACATAGATAACACCTATACATTTATATTTTGAAATCATAAACCCTACCAGCTGTAATCCTGTAGGAATTGATCATCGTCAATCTACCTTTTTCTACGGCTATAACACAAGATTGCTCTTGTTTTACTGTGTTCGATACATCAATGAGGTACCACAGAACTCAAAGACCCTCTACTTTGTATGTCATCAATTTTATTTCCGTATCTGATATCACAATGACTCCATTGTGTTAGTATTTCGAAAAAATCTCTTGACAGGAAATCAGATGGCTACAAGAAGAAGAAATCGATTATGCCGCTGTTATCTATTATAGCTGAATTATAGCCGTAAAAAAATATTTGCGAGATTCACGAAGTGGGCGACATCTAGGTTACATAATACGAACTTCAAACTGGGGGAAAACAAACTGTTGTCTATGGATAAAGTGCATAGATTGCATTGCATTCAGAGCTTACTGTAGCTGTAGTCAAACTTGTCAAAAACATAAAGTGTTGGCACTGTTGGTAGTGATGATGGTTGAGTTGGTCAATTTTTTTACATTATTACATTTTTATCAGTTTAGTTAACAGTGAACGGGTGAAGAATTGGAGATAGTTCAAACAATTCAAACTAATTATGACGAGCAAATCAATTGACATATTAAAGAACAGCTGCAACATGTTTACAATACCCAGATTGTCCTCTTTTGCATTAACAAATACAAATCCATTGTTCAACAGGAGTTCCTCTGGACCCCAACTTCAATTTTACTTCATGTGGGGAAGATTTCATCGCCGAAGTTTGTAGACAAAGTGCAAAAATGTGCCTTTTGATGAAGTCTTCTGCCTCACACAAAATCACATGATTCGCACGGAGAACTGCTTCTCCTTCCACTACTGGTCGGCTATTTCCATCTAAATTGAGCAAAATATCTGCCAAAACAACATTTACAGCAGGCATTATTAGCATTTTCGATCGAATATTGACAATTAATGTCAAGCAATTCGAAAACTTATCACTCTCATCAGTACACAGTACACAAGCTAATGGCACTAATGGGATTGAGTAAGGATTGAGTTTGTTTTCCCCCAGTTTTGACGTGGCTTTGACATGGAACAATGAAAACCGAGCGCCACCTGGTAACATTGATTCCCGCGAATAGTGTATAACTTGCACGGAATGCTGATTTCCTACTCGAATGATTGCAGCATTCGCCTATGGCTCATACTGCAAACTTCATTCTTGTGGGAAATCACTATCATTCCGTGCTCGTTAAACAATATACTATTTTCTAATTTTGACATGTAATCTGACACTTTTCAATACTGTCGGAAGTTTTAATCGTCTTACTTTACGTAAGTAGTTGCGTAAAGTGATATCACTTGGGAGTTCTGAACTTGAATATCAGCCATTTTTTACTAATGAAGATATCAAACGAGTCTATTTCGTGAATTTCGTCGCTGATTTTTGTCCATATTATTATTTGACGAATACTTCAAAGTGACAGGCGAAGTCAACTTGCCTAGTCGTTTCGCTCGTCCCGCAAAATTCCATCATTACACAAAATGACGCGTTTTCTAACTGATTATACCTCAGATAGTCCAATGTCATTCATAGAACGTCTATATTTCTTAGAGAATATTTGAATATTCTCAGAATATGCCCACAATGTAATACAAATATTCTAGGGACGTTCTATGAACATTCGGAATGGACTGTTTCAAATATTCTGAGGATATTCCTAGTATATTGAACGAGAAGGAAGAATATAAAAAAAGGCTTGGTCCCGTGGAGATAAGAACCTACTATCTTGTGATTGCATTTTTACGAACATGAAACCTTACCACTTCGCCACGAACCTGATTGATAAATAAAATGAATAGCAAGATGACAACATCGTATTAGTGGGATAATCAGCATTGAGGCTGGAGAATAATAGGTTGTGTCTGGGTAAACATTATAAATTTTGATAAAAGTATAGGAATATAATTATCATATATCTTGATACGATTCTCAATATTCTCAAAATATTCGAAAACAATATTCCCTGAATATTCAAAAAGAATATTCATAGAATATTGTTTGCAGAATGAGAATATTCGATGATCATTCTGAGAACATTCTATAAGAATATTCTGAAATAAGTATATTTGCACGTTGTCAGAATATTCAGAAAATATGCTGTCCTGTCTGGTAAATATCTAATTTTTAGTGATAACATCATACTGAATGTGAAATATAATAAATGTCAGTACTTATTGGATTCAAATGGATGCAAAGTAGGTATTTGGTATGTTCTATTTCCTTTGAAATTTTGCTATTTATAGTACTTAACGTTTTGGCGTATCACCATCATCAGACCTTAGAACTAACTCTAGGAAGAGACTTTGTGTAATTTTGTTCCGAATTTCTGACTTGATTTCGCTGGAGTATAGAAACACAATGGATTTTTTTATCTTTTGAAGCGCACGCCAGGACATCTCTATTAGGTTCGAAAAACATCGTGCGTACTTAGGGAGGATAGGGTAAGAAGTTAGGTATTCGGAATATTTCTTGAACCTTTGAAGGTTATAAGTTATGAGTTATGGAAATACAAAGTTTTGCCGTTCTATATAGACAAACGAGTTATGATGAAGATTCGTTCGACGTATTTCGAGGTTGAAGTCTAAAGGATGTTTTAATTACTGAGCTTGTCGAGTAGGTCTGACTCGTATTGCTTTAGTGATGGAATGATAGTTGGGATTTCTGAAGGACATGTCCCGTGGAAATATCTACAGAAAAGCGACTTTTTCACGGTGGTTCAATTATGTCGAATAATCAGTGCGTGTGGCATCACCAACCAGGTGAATGGTTCGTCCCTGGAAGGAATTCAAGAGCATCAGTGTATGTTTGGATGCTGAACCTCATATGTGGGAACAGCATTTTAAGACGAGCCGAATCTGCTTGTAGATCATATAATAAGAAGTTGTTGAGATGTGAAGTAGCTTCTCGCTCGGAATAAAGAACCGAATTTTTGTGAAGCAGCTTTCGCGCTGGATTTCACATGATATTTCCATGGAAGAGTATATTCGAATACAATCATTTTTTGCATTTTTGAACAAGTTGTAATAGAAACCGTGAGAATGGGATAATATTCGGATATAATGCACCGAAATTTTCGAACTCTGATTATATGATCTACTTTCCATTGTATACTGGAACAATAAACTGTTTCTATTGATAAGGAAAACAATATGTGGACAAATCGAAGTTTCAGAATCACTTTTCTCAGTTTGTACCTCGATAATGTAACTGTATACGGTGCTGTGACAAGAAGACGTGAGAATTTTGAATAAATTTTATCGGATTATTATGATAATGAACTGATATGCCTACCTTTTCGTCAATCGTGAAACGGTAGTTTGTCATGGAAGAAATGGCATCGTTGATTTATATTCTGCTTATTTACAGTTTTATCATGACTTAGGTGCATAAAAAACCTATACAGCCACAGCTTTATTTCATTTATATCGCAGAAATAACCAAATGTCCGCCCCAAAAGCTAACACTGAATGTTGCAAATACTTTGAAATATAATCAAGCAATATTAGAAATTCGCAGAAATAATATGCAATATTCAATTTTCATCCAAGGGCGTAGATATGGGGGGGGTAAAGGGGGTAATCACCCCTCTCCCCAGAAACATAATAAAACATTTGAGATATTACGAGTTCCGAACTGAAACATTCGAATTCAGACCTGCGTAGTAACGAAAACAAAGAGTTAATAACAAATACTTTGGAATCTGGATTAGAACTATGTAAAAATGAAGGTGGATTTATGCACACAGCTCTGTTGCTTTCATTAACTGTCATTAAAGTTTATTTTCATTCAAGGACTATGATACTTTTATGCACATTTTTTTTTAATTTCAAACTCTTCTTCCGTCTTCTTCTTGATCAGCGTACTTAGCCCGATGAATACATTCGTGTTATATCATTCAGGGATCACATAATTACAATAAGAATCATTCATTCATATTGTTAACAAAGTCTAATTTGAACATACGACTAGAATTTCCATAATTTTCAACCTCATGTTGGAAAAAGAAGTGGAAGAAATTGTTTGTCTTGACATATGACAGAATCGCGCCTGCGCAAGTCACAGTTTTATTTGTATTAGATAAAGGTTGATCATCTTCTAGGGAAAAGTTAATGGAAGATAAAATTCAGTTTAGGTGCATAAATGAATGAACGGGAATACCAAGCTTTAACTAATTAGTGAAATCGTTAATGATTATAAAATAACAGCGGTGTGTATGAATCCTCCTTTATAGGGGAGTGAGCCAGTATTGCCAGTATTGTATTGCAAGTAAGAGTAGCAACCAACGGCAGAGAGCAGCATTTCTTCACTGTTTCATAGGTTCGCTATAGTCTACCTACGTCGAAAGCATCTAGACTTAATTATTTAGGTAGTTTATAGTTGAGTGTTTTTGAAAGAATCAGGAATGTATCACATCGTCCATTGTGACCAATGAGGTCTTCTAAATTGATAATAAGGGTTACTGGGAATTCTTGAATAATACATTGTGGGTTGAAGGTTCAGTACTGAATGAGTAAATCAATGCGCATTGCACTATATTATTCATTATTCAAATTTTAATCAAATCAATGTAATTTGTGTGTTTCCACTATTCAATATAGCTGCAACATTTCCCATATATTGTATGCAAAATGTTAAATGTACATCATCCATTGCAAATTGATCCAGGAAGCATCATTGGATATCCGTATATTACTTGACTACATGGAAAAGATTATAGAAGTAAATTTGATGATGGGATGATATAAAAGACAATGCAACAATATTTCGAAGTATTGTGATTGCAATATACGAATTGCAATACCTATTGTGGAGATATTTACTGAATATTTCGTGCAAAGTGGGTATGTTTGCGTTACAAAGAAACAATAGATATGTGCAAATGATGAGCAAGCCGAAACAGCTGACAATCGATTCGCGAAAAGTCGCGTGTTGTTTTCTTCACGTTTTTACGCATGCGTGACGCTTTCCTCCTCAAAAAAAAACAGAAGTTCAATGGTAAAAGTGGAACCATACTGCACCCCAGAGTCACTCGGCACCCTTATCTCCTAACATGTTGGATGAATGACGCTTCAAATTCCATCATCTTTGTGTGTTTCATTTTTGTTTATGTGTTATTATTCATTTCATTATAAATATTACACGTATTCACTTTATCTTCCATATTTCTTTGTTTTTTAGTGAAAACCTATCTCAGCCCTGTGGAAACACACTGCAGCAACGTTAATTATTATCTTCCCGATGAGAACAACGATACCAGAGATTTCACAGATGACGCTTGGACGAGATTACGTGAGTAGAAACTCAAATTTGATCTTTAATCATTCTGACTACGTCAGTCATATAAGACGTTTGAAACGCAAAGCGTGATGTTTATCCGATTCTTTGAAATATTGTTAGGGAATGTTAGAGTAGTGTGACCACAAGTTTGCAGCTTTGAATGACCTGTGCTTCGTAATACGTTAAAAACGGCAAAATATGTATTTGTAGTAAGAAGTAAAAGGAATTTGCAATAGTTTCAGCTGAATTGCAATTCTATACGTTCAATAGTTTTCGAGATATAGTATACTAAAGAAAACGGCAAATTCTCGTAACGAAATTAATTTAAGTTTAGCTGAAAATTTGATTTTTGAAGAAACAAGCCTAAACACTTGTTTTAACAATTGATTCGCCTATTTGAGAAACCCAATATGTCCAAAATAAGCAATTTTGACATTTTCGTGAAATTCTTGTCTAGAAGCCATTTTCTATGTTTTGGTTTAGAAACCCAACACGTATCAGTCTTATATTTATCACAGTAAACAACTTATTAAAAGGTTTATTTGATAAACCCAACTAGTGCTACATCTATTGGGTTTCTCAAATAAAATGCTGTAATCATATACCACAAAGAGTATGGATCTATTCATAGAATCCAGTCAGGAAATAGTTAATTTCCTAACAAGTGCGCAAAGTTAGGCGAACGACGCGGAGCGGAGTTCGAATAAGTTTTTGCGTGCGGAAAAGACACTTTACGCACATGTTAGGAACAACGTTTTTCCTACGAGCTTCATATCAGATAAAAAGGAAAATAAAAAAAAAATATAACTTATTGAAAAATGTAACTATATAACAATCACATATAACAATAAAATATAATAATAAATCACATTTTCCCTACGAGCTTCATCAGATAACAACGGAAATAAAAAAATTTCAACTTAAATTACAATTTATTGAATAATTTTTAGTTAAACTTGATAGAAATAGCTAAACAACAAACAGTTACGTATCAATAAAATATAATGATAGAAAATTAAATTATTTATTCCTAATATTTATATTGAGGTGAAATACAAATATCGGGAAGAACGGTTGAAAAGTAAAAGGGATATTTAAGGGCTTCTTACAGTGCATACAATAGTCTACAGCAACTAAAATAAATATAAATGTTCCGTACCTGTGAGATTTTTGGGTAGTTTTACTTATCCGCACGCCGTGCGGATATCACCCATAACGGCACTGAGTGCGGAAAAGTATTACTTTGCGCACGCAAATGAGTGCGGAAAAGTACTACTTTGAGCACGCTCGTAGGAAAATGTAATTTTACCTATACTTAAAAAACATTCCAGTGTAATTTCATACTCCTTCCCCCAAGGAGGGGGAAAACATCTCCAGAAATGTGTTTAATTGCTATGGTAACGATTCGAAATACAGGCTATTGATTGGTCGCAAATGTTGGGTGTGATATTTTCAGTAGTAATACCCCTCTTGGACATTGATAATAGACGAGATAATTTATTGACAATCGAAAGTTCGATATTTGCTCGAAGCCGAAGGCTAAGTGCTGTTACCAAGTAACGAGCTTGAGAAATTCATCATAAAATTATGAGGCATTTGTCAATGTCCGAGGGATTATTCGGCGGAAAATAATTTGAAGTTGTCATAGAGATTGATGGTGGATTTATGCAGCAGTTTTAAGTCTTAAGTTTTAACTCGTAGGTTTTAAGTCATAAGTTTTAAGTCGTAAGGTGAAAATGGTGATTCATGCAGCAATAATAAGGACTGTCAAATCATAAGAAGAGCACCCCTATTCATTAGCTAATTTTGCTTATTGTTTATCAGTTTTGTGTTCGAAGTAACACACAATTGTTTTTTTTTTCTATTATTCAGCAATTACAAATATCTGCTTTGGTTTTGATTCAATTGAAACAAAGTTTTAAGTCGTAAGTCGTAAGAGATGAATGTTGGCCAACTCTTCTTACGACTTAAAACTTATAACTTCTTATGACAATTGTATGAACGTTTATATTGAAAAGCAATGAATAAACTTCTTAAGACTTACTTACGACTTAAAACTTATTACTTAAAACTGCTGCATAAATCCACCATGATAATTGCACTGAATGCAGTTATCAAAATTCATTTTCAATTTAATTTTCAGATATGGGACGCTCAATGATAGCCTTATTCATCATTTCCTTCGTTGCCGTGTTCGCTGCCTTCTGTACAGGAGTCACAGGATGTTGGAAACGCTCGCCAGGAAACATAACAGCCACAGCCATCCTGATGTTATTAGCATGTGAGTCATTAATATCTAATTCGATTTATCTCCACCTATGTATACCGGGTGTCCCAGTATACCTGTTCCAATGAATTGTCTCAGCCATTTCAAAAAATTCATGAACTCTCACTTTTTTATTTCGAATAGCACCCTGTATATTTTTTGCAATTTTTGATTTCTACTCAAAATTACCGTTCCAACGATGTATCACACTTCGTATTTTAAAACACGTTCGCTACCAGGCGTCACATATATGTGACAGACGGGTTCCCACGTACGACCGCTGACACACATTTGTGTCGCGAGTACAGAGTATTTCAATTGGATTTCTTAAATCTGTGGTCTGAGTTATTGTTTTGTTCGTTGCCCTATAATATGGCCTATGAATAGGTTCGCCCTATATCTGTGACGAGTGGTCTGTGGATCAGGAGGACCTGTACATTCTTAAGTTATGTTTATATAGACGGTGCGTGATCTCGTATTCAATAGCTTTCAGCAAACATTTATATGTTTGAGATGTTTTAGTGATCTCTACCAAACATAAGGCTACTATGGGCGGAATAACTGACAAACGGAAAAATAAAAAATTGAAACCAGTTACTATAGTTGATTACAATTCGAATATGTCAGGGATTGACATCAGATGTGATCAAATAGTTTCACTCTATTCAACTCCACGCTGGTATCCGAACATATTTTTTCATCTATTTGATGTATCAATGCGAAATGCATGCTGGTTATATAATAAAATAAAGTACATCAGAAGAAAAAAACCTGCAATTCCAGGAAGATATAGCTCAGGAGTTTTTGCAAACTGACGTTCAGGCCTCTACAAGTTCTCGAGCACAGACTACGAACAATTATTTCCAAAAAAAGTAAGATAAGATGCCGTGTAAAAGAAAGAAGATATCTGCTACTTTCTTTACATGTTACGCATGCCAAGATGGTGGTCAACCAATTGGATTATGTATTGAACCTTGTTTCAAAATAGGTTGTAGGCTTTCATCGCATGATTCTGTTTGCTCATGGTTTATATAATCATGGAATAAATGTTTTGAGTTCATGAATAAAGATAATTCAGTTGATACATTTTCTTGTTCTATCGTCAATATTGGATTGTTACATATATGTGACCCTGGTCTATCCTGAAAGATTACTTTCGATGGACCAGCGTCACAAATATGTGACAGCATTCAGAAAAGTATTTTTCATGTTGTTTGAAGTGAATATATCACATAGTGACAACAAAATCTATAGTATATGACCATACCGACCGAATCGCCCCCTGGTCTGTGGTGACGGATTGCTCAAATACCCTTGGTAGCGAACGTGATTTGAATTGATGGGGAACACAAATATTGAAATTTCGAATTGAACGAATTGCAGTGGGCTACGATATTTTTGTAATCTTGATTTTGACTTCAATAATAATTATTTCAAATTATTAGAATTGTAGTAGATCATGTAATTTTCAAATTTCCATCTTTCGAAATGGCTGAGATAATCTATTGGAATATGTATACTGGGACACCCGGTATGTTCATAAGGGTGTTCCTTACATGCTAATATTCAAAATAATTGAGACAATATTGTATACATCTTCATGAAATTTGGTACACGTATTTCATGCATCAAGGTGCACTTTTTGATGTACCAAAATATTTATTTTCTTCACCAGTTACGGGAATATTATTGTTTATATTTTACTTGAAAGTGAGCAACGACGGACAATTTTCAAATTTCGTACAATGGTATGAAAGGCTATTCAATTATATACAAAAAATATCCTCTTGTTGATACTCAATTGAACGTTTCGTTTTAGAGAAAAAACGGAAAAACGAGACCAGACTTGAAATCTTGATGTCTGGGTACTCTATAAAGGACATACATCACTGGATAACCACAATATATGTAACATTTCAAAATGTTCATACCGATTCAGTCACATAGCAGACTGAAACGATACAGGGTTGACAAAAATGGAATATATGCATACTTTCAACATTGACACTCTGTATCTCAAAAGTTAGGGCGTTTACGTGATATATACGTTCATATGAAGTTTAATTCTTGAAATGGGTCGAATAATCGGTCCCTTGAATATAAGCATATCATTAAGGAACACCCTGTATACAAAGTATGAGTAATGATAATAATAAGATTTACCTATATGTTTCGGACTCAATAGTATATAATTAGACAGGGTGATTCAGGTTTTGAGGTACAAACTGAAATAGGTGATAGATCTCATCATTCTGATCAAAAAGTGTCCGATATCGATCAGTAGCGAAGATACAGGGGGTCAAAGTTTAATAATTTTTTTCTGTTCGCATCTGCATCTCAATTTTTTTCAATAAACGTATGCCGTTTTCGAGATAAAAAAGCATATATCCGTGCAATAACAGGTTAATTTTGCCTATTATGATTCGCTTAATGCAATACAATGTACCAAATTCCAATCTGAATCAGTAGCGGTGATAGAGAGGGTAGAAGGTCACGTTGCTTTTAACCGACCAATCCAACGACCACGCGGAAAATTCGTGTTAAGCCATTGGTTTATTCCCATGTCCAGTTGTATCCATATTCCTCATCCAATATCTTGTTCAATATCATTTGAAAAAATAAAAAAATAAAATAGCATTCAACTTGTCGGGAACAATCTTATTGCGGAATGTGATTATTTCTTTTGCGTATTCCATTATTGTCAACTAATTTTGTCCAAGAATAACATTTGAGAAAAAAATATGAAATTAACAG